GGGGGGGGGGGGTTGATCTTGGTGCTAGTACCCGAGCATCAAGCGAGCTGCGACATCTAACACGTTTGTGCTGGATTGCTCCCCCTGAAACTGTCTAGTGGTTGATGAAAATACAGACAAATTACAAGTTCACATTTATCATGAAGTTCAACAAGCCAGAAAACTACTTGGTCAAAGTTGCCCTAGCGTGCAGCGGCTCCCTTGCTCTCCATAGCCGCATCTGCTCGCTGGCACAGGCAGCATGGCGCTGTGGGCACCCGGCCTCAGGAAGCGCAGGCAGGGAGCCAGCAGCAGCCCGGGTGCAGCCCCAGGCCGCGGTGGCCGGACCCCAGCAGCACAGCGCCTCCTCCCACAGCAAAGCGCTTCTCTTCGCCTGCAGCCTTGCCTCCTGTTGAACGAACCTGTTCTTTTCCCCCATTAACAAGTCTATTTTTTTTTTTAAGATTTACTTATTTGTACATACAGAACTGGGGTACAGGCCAGAGGTGCAGGGCGGTGAGAGGATTCACCAGAGACAGAGTGGGGAGCAGAACAGGCAGATGGAGGAAGTACGCTGCTGAGGGGAGCAGCGGGCGGGTCAGGAGAGGTCTGCAGCGCCACGTGGACACCTCCGGGGCAGGCGGGAATCGAACTCATGCTGTAGTGGCCTTAGCTTCCTAGTGCTGTGCTTTAACCCGCTGCACCACCAGGGAGGGCCCCGACAAGTCGTGTTTTCTTAATGGCACTTGTATAATGTGTACATCTTCATTTTAACGGACATTAATTCATGCTCTGAACATTAAAGGTATGTTACCAAAATAGGGATGTTCAGTGTTTACTGTTTCTTCAAAAGTCACAACAGCACACGGCGCACACACCCAGGCGGGGCACAGGTGGCCAAGGGGCACAGCCCGATACTTCACCAGCTCAGAACCTCAACGACACTCCTCCAGCCGTTGTTCAAGTAAGCACTTTCTGCCTGATGACTTTTCACAGTGAGACTATGAAAAATAAGGCAGTAACTGATTAAAAAGTGGCAATAAATGACCACTCAGAGGAAAAGTGAAACTCCACAGCGACTACGGGCTTGTGAGACTCAGGTGACAGCAGGAACGAAAAGAACAAAATGAACCCAGATCTTACTTTAAAGAGGTCGGCCGTACCGTCCTTCCCAGAAAGGGCTGGTCTGCGGCTTGGCTCTCCGTGCAGCAGAGTCCCAGGAGGATTACAAGGTCTTGCCTAGGCCCTGCTGGCCCCACACAACAAAGAGCTTGAATGACACAGCCAGATCCTTGAAGTAAGAGCCCTTAGCCGTCCAGGCATGTTTGAGAGAGAGGAGATACAAGGAGTGGGTGTATCTTATCTTACTGGGGGAGTGGGGGA